AGACCTTGTCAATAAATATGCAAGTGAATAAATGAATGTATGTTTGGGGTAGAAAGGCGATATTGATATAATGACAACAAATATATCAAGGTAAATAAAAGTCTGCCTGCTTAAAAATGGAACAAGAGTGTGGGGTCTGAGTCAGACAGGAGGGACAGGGAAAGGATGGAATGGGAGACACTGATCAGGATGCATTTTACAGGTGTCTCGACATGTTGAATTGAAATCTCTTGGTAGGACTGTTTAAATATAATAACTAAAAATAAACAAGTCACAACAGGGCTTCATGTTTACTTTTCCAAGCTACTAAAATATGGTGCTAGAATGTAATCAAAAAATTACAACGTATTCATTTAGAATTCATCAATGAAATTGCCCACTCAAAGATAAGAGAAAGCAAATCTAGGAGCGTAATTATCCATCATTGTGATGGTACCTCTAATGTATGTCATTTACGAGTTCCATATTGATCACCTCAAAAGCAAACTGCAGCAAACTCCAGGGTTATTTTCTTTTTTAAAAATACATCTTGTATTAAAATGTCAAAATACTCTGCTACACCATAGGCCACTGTGCCACCATATCTTTAGTTTATGTTTCATTTCTTCTCTCCCCTTCCCTCACACCTGCATATGCTGGCAGAATACATCTGTTACTCACTTTAGAGGACCGTGGAGCCCATTTCAAGTTTCCAAGAGAGTAAGAAACAACTTTTGGACAAATACATTTTTCAACAATATTCCTGTATGTGTGTGTTTCATTATTCATTTGTTTCAAAGTTTACTTATCTTTGGCCCTCTGTCCATAACATCTCGTTGGGCAGATATCTACCTCACATCTGACACGTGTTCGGTTGTAAACACTACAAGAACGATCTCTCTGCGGTAGCCAAAGAAACTGGCCTAGTTGACACAACCCTGGGAATGAGCGCCAGGTTGTCTTGTCCAATGGCAGCTGCTCTAGGCTGTGCCTTATTGATATTCAGATCCAACAGACACAAATCACATCGCCCCTTTGACAAGCACACTCTCTCTGTGTCTTCCTGTGAAACATGTTCAATAGCTACCGTCCTTCACGATCACCCAGCAGTGGCCATTTGCTCCCATCTGATTTCCCGTACTGCTGAACAGCTGACAAGATTGTCCCAGAAACACTGGCAACAGTTTGTGGCAAACTCTCTCCGCATTTATGAGATGGTAGCATATGACAATAGATATCCATTCCTCTGACAAAAGAGATACTTTGGGGATCGTTGAGACAGCAAAGGCTGCAATACAGAATTCTTTAGAAGTGAGGACAAAAATGTAAGAGGTGGGAATAAAATGTGATACAGCTCATGAAGAACTTCCTTTGCAAAGAAAGCGATTATAAAGTGTTAATTCTGTTTTCTAGAAGCATACACACACACACACACATATAACAACAACAACAACAAAATACCTTATTTTCTACAGCTCTTGTCCTTCTGCTCATCTCTAAATGGGTGGGGAAACAGGTTTCCCAACTTAAAATACTTGCTGAAATCAAAAAGGCATACCACAGGTTGCCACAATGACTGAGATCACGGATTCATTTAATACAGGACACCTGATGACACCAAAAAGCAGCAAATACTTCTGTGCAAGGCACTGTATTTCACAGAACATGCAACCTTAGGAACTATTCACAAAACAATATAATAAGCCAATAAAAGAGTTCAATGGACACAAAAGGCTTACTCTTTTTGGAGATGAGCAGGAAGACACTGAAGTAGAAGATGAGACGGGAGTAGATTTTCGGAAGTGCCATTGTCTTACTCAGAGAACATTCTTGAAGCAGTCGTAATGCTCCCAGTCCAGTTCTCAACTCAGAAGGGAACAGGTGTCTCGCCCACCCCAGGGGCCAACTCTGTTCACCCCTCTTCCAGCTCCTGAACAGACTTACTCTAAAGGCAGTGTGTGCTCTTACCCTCTTACAGGGAAGATGAGGTGATTTTTCAAATCTGGAGCAGATTTTCCCAGGCTGGACTGGATTCATCCCTCACCCCCAGGCCTTCTGGACTTGACAAAACATCTCAGAAGGACCTGCTCTCGGTTGGGTCCTTCACTTGCTCCTTTGGATGCTGGTTTTGGAACACAGTTATGATGAGCTAGTGACTTTTGATCCTATCTTGTGTGTTTATGTTCATCTATAGATCATGAGTCACATTTTTATGCTTCTAAACCTACTCTCACAACTCCCTTAGATTCCTGTTGCTGATAAGGCAGTTCAAGAGAGATGAAAATGAAGTTTCCCAGATAAAATGGGCAGCATTGTAGAGATCTGAGCATTGTTTCCCCCACACACAAAATCATAGCCATTTTTAAACCCTGAGCATGATATTATTTCTTCTAGGAAATCTCATTTTTGCTTTATCATCATTGGTCAAGACAAATGTTTGTTTATTAAATTATACTGATTTTTTAATACCACATATTTCAAATTAAATTGTTTGAGTCCTAAAGGTTATAGTATCCTTGGAAACTTTGTGGAAATTTCTAATAGTTAAAATTAGATTGCTTTATTATCTGATTGGTATTACTACTATAACATGGTCTCTTCCTATTATTAAGAACATGACTTTAAATGTAATGACTTATTTTATGTATATTTAAACACACATATAACATACATATATACATATGTGTGTCTGTGAGTTCAGGATTCTGGAACTGATGAGAGAGATTTAGATTAGAAATACAAATCTTTGGAAGTGACAGAGAGCTAGCCTTAAGAAAAAAGCCCGGGGACAGTACCTAAACCTTGAGTTTAAGCCCCAGAACTTGCACAAAAGAAAAAATACAAATCTTTGGGGACTGGATATGTTGTCCAATGTCAGAGCACTTACATGGTATACTAATATATTTTATATATACATATATAAATTAACATTATCTGTTAATATGTCTATACAAAGATTAACAAATGAGAGTTGTTATACATGTATCACGAAGATTACATCTACTGTATATAATTTGCACTGTTTCAGTACAAACACAGTCAGATCTACAAGACTGAGCCTTCGGTGGGCAGTTTCTTTGTGACTGTAGCTGAGCATCTGGAAGGAAGCAGTTGATTGACAGGCAGAGGAGTCCAAGTTCCTCCCAAACCGGCAATCCAGACGCACTGAACTACGGATTCCTTCTGATAATCACTGAGGTTCATTTCCACTAAGGATGCATGCATTTGAAAAATATTGACACTAAATGAGTATTTTCTTTGACAGGATTCACATCAAAGAACAAGTAACAGGTTCCCTTCAGAAAATATGTATTGTAAGACTACTCAGCACCTTGTGTAACAGAGGCTAGCCAGAAGAACAGATGGGAATAGAATGGAGCCACGGCAGTACACCGTTAGGACAGAAACAAGAATGCACAGCTTCAGTGAGGTAATTCCATTCAGGAGAGTTAATTCCAGCATGTTTCCTGATTTTCAAAAGCCAGGTAAAGGGTGTCAGAATAGCCATGCAGCACCCCCCCACACACAAAACTACACCAAATGCAAAAATGGTAAGTCTCCAAAAGGACTTAACGGGGTGAGATTCAGGCAACCAAAAGGAGAAAATGCCCATGACAGACCTCAAGAAAAAGGTGCAAGGTTCTGGTAGCTCATGCTTATAATGAGATTGGGAGGATTGAGTTTTGAGACAAACTTGGGCAAAAAAGAAAAAGAAAGAAAAGAAAACACACACACACAATCTTCCATCTCCAATTAACCAGGGGAAGTTGAAGAGCTACTCTAAAGAACAGGGATTTCGGGGGGTGGGGGAAGCTCGGAAGGGATGTGAAGGGTAAACAAAGGAGGAGGCTGCAATGCTTGATAAGAAATGTACGCATTATCCTGCCCATGTAATTGTAACCCCTCTGTACAGTATGTTCACAAAAAAATAAAATTAAATTAAAAAAATAAAGAACAGGGATTAAAAGCTCAACTTTGATGTCATCCAATCCTGGGTTATAAACCTAGCTTTCTAACTTCACTAACTGACTAAATAGTTAATGAATATCAACCATCTATTGGGTGATTACAGGCAATCTCCAAGTTACAGAGATTGGACTTTCGATTTATCACTTTCTGGAGGTATGAAAGTGATAGGCACTCTGGAAAAACCATACTTTAAATTTTGACCTTCTCCTGACCTGGTAACAGTGAGAATGATGCCCTGTCATTCCCCTGGGCAGTGAAAGTGAGATGCACAATTGGACCCTCATACTCTGCACGTCTCTTCTGTGTACCGTGTGCCTAAGCTACGACGCTCTGTAACTTAGATGCAGTAATTTCTGACAGAGGGTAGTTTCGGCGTACTGTGGGCTTATCAGGACATGGCTTCATTGTAAGTCAACCATCACATGCACGTGAGATTGTGTGAGTTTACCATCTCTCTTTCGTGGGCAAGTATTGTTATGGATATTTTTAAGGGGTCTTGGATTGGTAGAAGAATTGACTGAGTCAGGAAGATAAGGGAAACAAAGGTTCACAGGATGCTGGTACAAGACCTGGCATCATGGCTGAGATGTTTAGTGCTGCTTTTGCTTCTGTCCCAGCTGCATCAATTTGGGGTGGGGAACAGGCTTTCAGGAGTAACTGGGGCTTTTGTTGATTGGCTATATCTCTTCTCTTTTTGTAGGCCCTGTTGACCAGCTAGCTCTATCCTGGACCATGATGCAAATATTATGTGTCCAACAAGTGCTGCCTTCCATCTGGTCCATTTCCCAAGATGGACTCCCTTCCTTGTTCCCCTTGCCCCCATTTGCATGCTTGCTGTACCTGCAGGCAGCTGCATCTTTGTGCTTCTCTGTCTGCCATGTCCTTTTAAGCTAGTCCCCCCCTCCACTAGTACCTTATTGGGGTCTTCTGTGAATACAAACCACTACCACTGTGATGAGAAGGGTGAGGGAAATGGACAGAAATGGTTCCATCCTGTTTCATGCCCAACCTGCTGTAAGCACTCTGTATGATGCATATAAAAGTTCACATACCTTTGTCCTTCTAAAGATGAGGGGACCAAAGTCCAGGGGAGCTGAGCAAATGGCACCATTATCTGTAGTTTGAGGGGGCAGTGCTGTGTCCGGGAGGCAGATAGCGTGTGTGCCCAGTTCACGATTTTCATCACTGCAAAGACAAAATGAAATGTGGACAGCGGTGTTACATCTGTATTCTGAATTTTCTGTGAATGGGGGTAGAAACTACACTTGATGGAAATTATTTAAAACCTGGAGTTGCAGGTGAGGCCCACAGGAACCAGAATGGATGGCAGATGGAAATTACTTCACTTGAAAAATCATTATGCAAGTCAGTGACCTTCCAAAGAGGCTGTACGAGGGATTTGAGGGGAGAGAAAAGCCATACCATATACAAAACACGTCTGAGTGTGTGTGCGCGCGCACACACACACACGTGTGGTAAAGAAGCAGGACTTTTTCTTTCTGAGGGGTATCTCAGCCTGCTGCTCCTCCCCTGGAAATTATGTCAAGCCACACACGTGATCCCAATGGAGGCTGGGTATAAAAGTATATTAGCTGGGCACCAATAGCTCACACCTAAAATCCTAGCTACTCAGGAGGCTGAGCCCTGAGGATCACAATTCACAGGCAGAAAAGCCCAGGCAGAAAAGTTCATGAGACTCTTATCTCCAATTAGACATCAAAAAAATCCAGAAGTATAGCTGTAGTTCAAGAAGTAGAGCACTAGTCTTAAGTAAAAAAAAAAAAAAAAAAAAGGTTAGAAACAACACCTATACCCTGTGTTCAAGCCCAAGGATTGGCACAAAACAAAACAAAACAAAACAAATGTAGTAAATTAGACAGAAATTGTTGCTATGATAATATCAGCAAACACCAGACTATGAAAATACCCCTTTGCTATAACTACACAGGTCCGATCTCTATATAGTAACGTGTGAAATTGTTGAAATATATAACTTGAAACAAACAAAAGGAAAATCTGGAAGAATTTTTTTAACTTTGAATCCTTAAGGCTTATGGATTGTAAAAAAATTTTACTTGATAATGACTTAAATCAAGGGAATTTTCATCTATCTTTGGGAATCTCATAGTCGACAGGTATGCAGACAATGCTAACTGAATTATCATTTAATCCTTACCTAATATCTTACTCATTTACCATCCATTTCAAAAACCTTAAAAACTAAAATTTTAATTATAATAATTGTAATAAATTATAACATTTAAGTCCTAATCCAAGTCTCCACTCCTCTAGGTTTGTACTTGACTCATTGATTTTCTCCTCTTTTGGTGTTTTCTCATAATTGCACTGTTTACTAAACAATTTAAAATAATAATAACCATATATATTAGGAAATATATATATATATATATATGTTAGGAAAAATTCAATACTCACCCCACCCTCTCCTTTTAAAATCAATACTGCAGTTTGAGCTCAGGGTCTTGTTCCTTCTAGTGTTCTCCTTTTTTTTTCTTTTGTGCCAGTACTGGGACTTAAACTCAGGGCCTAGGTGTTTTCTCTGGGTTTTTATTGCTCAAGGCTAGCCCTCTAGCACATGAGCCACAGCTCTTTAAATAAGAGTCTCACAGACTTTCCTACCTAAGCAGGATTTGAACCACAGTCCTCAGATCTCTAAGCTCAGTACTGTCTTGTGAGCCTACTAGTTTCCATTTTACAGAGAAGTTAAGTGAGACCAATAACTGCATAAACAATTAAGAAATTTCAAAATCAGATTTGTCTGACTCCAGACTTCATGCAGATGAATTTTGTGTTAGATAATTCTAATGGATGTATTCAATTTTTAAATTTCATAATAAATTAGTCATAAGTCTTCTGCATGTGGAAAATTGTCAGGACTCATTTTTGTCTTTCACAGAACCACACGTAACTCTACGAACTTAACCATCACTTACGAGACGCATTTACACGATGAGAACAGATTCTGTCCTAAAGCATCACTTGGGGAAACAGCCATTAAATACACATTTTAATGGAAATATGAAAAGGCCCTTCCAGCCTTATAATATGAAATTTTGATTGCTGTAAACACATAATTAGCATTACAGTGTCATGATATTTTAAACTAGGAAGATTTACAAGAATATATACCATTTTTAAGTTCCAGATACTTAATACAGAGTATCCTTTCCTGCTTACAGATTTAATACAGCCCAGAGCACCTACTCAGGGCCAATTACATTATTTTAGGCAGAGTCAGATGACAGAGGTTGTTCCAAATCTCCTAAGTTTAAACTTTCCTTAAACATGTGAAGGTCCCCTGAGCATTTTCTATTTTACAGACCAAACAAACTGATTTGGATAAGAAGCTAGCTGCCCTCTGGGGAGCTCCAGGAAGCAATGGTGTGTGATGCAGTTCTGCTTCCTTCTGATGAATTCCTCCACGGAGAACACGTTTTTCCTGCCTTGCCTGTGGTGGATACCACCGGGGAGCAATTCCACTGTCACTGATGAATGCTAGCTAGGTCAGACCTTGTCACAGCAAATGCAAGTCTTGTGATTAGTATTCTGTACCTTCTTACTAATGAACCTTCTAATCAGGAAATCTGTCTGTACTTATAAGCTTCTTCTAATTGTTAAGTGCCCTTGAAAGTTTAGTTAAGCTGGAAATAATTATTTTTTTTCTTCGCTCTTTGCATTGCGCTCTCCAAATTTAGTTCGAGATTTGCTGTGTATGGCTCTTAGGGAGGATCAGCATTGGTCAACATTATGACTCTGAAAACTTCTTTGTGCCATTCTGACAAGCAAACACAAGTGGCGAAATATTCGAAAACATTTAGAATCAAAATAGGAGGTATTTTCAAAACATTCAGATTTCTTTAGGAACACTGTGACAGTAGAAAATATAAACAAGTATCGGTAGCCGATTTTGCTGGAGAAAAAAATTTAACTGGAGAAAGTACTAACAAAAAAGGTCCTGTACTAACCAAAAAAAAAAAAAGAGTAACATTGCAGCCAGTGTTTAAAGAAACAGTTATCCCACACATCTGAGTTACTCTAAACACTGTGTATATTTTTAACTGTGCAAGGGTTTATTTACTGTGACCCCACATCACTTATATATTTATTGAATCTAAACCATTATTAATTATAAGGTACACTTTTATTTTGTATCTCACAAAGAAAAGGGGAGAGAGAGAGATAGAGGGAAGAAGAGAGAGAGAAAAAAACTGTGACAGGGGCTGGGAAGGTGCCTCAGTGGTAGAGTGCTTGCCTTGCGTGCATGAGGCTCTGGGTTTGATTCCTCAGCACCACATAAGCAGAAAAAGCCAGAAGTGGTGCTGTGGGTCAAGTGGTAGAGTGCTAGCCTTGAGCTGAAGACCTGAGGGACAGCGCCCAGGCCCAGAGTTCAGGTCCCAGGACCGACAAAACAAACAAACAAAACAAAACAAAAAAAGTGGCAGTTTCCTGATTAGAGGTCACCCATGTTACAAAGCAGGAAAATGATGAACAGTATCAGCATGGGTCTCTTGTAAATAAGCATGAAAGAAAAGTCTGGTAAAAGAGGGGCAGATTGAACCAGAAAGAGGCAGTTGTGAGAGGACAGGATCTAGGGGAAGTGACTTCTAAAAACATTGGTGATAGGTAAAGGGTAGAATGCATGAAGATGCACAGCAGAACACAGAACACCACACTCCCGTTGCATTCCTGGCCGCTCTCCTTACATTTCCATTTCTTAAAATGATCCTTGGTGTTAGGAAACTGAATCATAGGGGTATGAGAATTTAAAGAGGAGAAAGTGAACTCAACAGATCAAATCAAGTTTACTGGAAGTTGAAGAGGGACTCCACTTTGAACTGAGGATAGTCAGGAGACATGACACATGGCATAATGGTAGCAGGGGTGGAGGGATTTAGGGGGTTCAAATGGTAGGGGGCAGGGTCGCAGGTAGCTGAGGATTGAGGGCCTCCAGAGTGAGGTCTGGAAGGTTCTGGAACCTGGTTAAGTCCTCTGCCCCATCTACTTGTAGGAATTTTGGTGCTCATCACCTGGAAGGTGGGTGGGAAGGAAGTGGAATTTCACCTTTAGATGGAGATTCTCACTTTGGTCAAGCAGTCCTTGGACAATGATTCTTCTACTCTTTTTCTCAAGAGACTGGAACTAAAGGCATGAACCACCAGACTACACACTATTTATTAGTTTTATGTTTATAAAATTTACTCTTAGGCCATACATTACTACTGGGCATAAAGTCTAATAAATGCAAAGTAGTTTATATTGATATACAAATGTAAGTGAATGAATAGGGCACTAGAAAAAATCGTCAATATTTGTAATAAAAAAGATGGGACTGTATTTTCCTTCATCATGAATTAATGGCATATACTTTTGCAGTATTAATAGGAAGGAAACTCATATATGTTATCCATAAAGATATAACAAAAGAATATGATTTTGTTTAGTTTGTAAATAACTTGATCCTAAGTAAATCTTTAAAAATTTGTGCAATAATGCTCAAATTCAAATTCGTGCCATTAATTTTAAAGTTTATGAAGTCTGCTCAGTATTCTTTATTAGTATTTTGAAAAAACCGAGTCTGTGATATTTTTAAAACTATAGTCATTGAAAGAACTGTAAAAATATTAATATGCTGTCAAATTGCACCCTCCAGTGGAAAAATGTTTATCCATAAAAACTTAAGAGTGTATTTGTCTATATGTTTGCAGCTTTGATGTATTCAAATGAGTTTCTGCCCAAAAGTTTTAAAAATATAATTCTATGTTATGACCCAGACAAATGTATATCAGTCTGTTAGATATAACCAATAATACTTTCTGAGTCCCCAAGGTGTTGTTCTGAGTTTTCAACTTTATTATGTTAATAAGGCATTTAATATTGGACAAGTAAAAGAACTTCAAGAAAAAAATTTAGAAATCAAATCAGATTATAGGCTTATGTCTGTAACTGAATATTTTCTAGAACATCCTTAACTATTTACTTAATAAAAATGGTTTTACATATAGCATGCATCTCCTGGTGTTAAAGATGTTGATTTTTGTATTAATAACTTCTATTTATATTCCTTTGGTTAAACATTTGTGTTGGAAAGATCTATAGTTGCTTGATATTGGAACAGAAAATTTTAGAAATAGTTAAATTAAAACTGCAATGACATGTTCATCTCATAAACTGAAGAACAGATGAACAGAGAAAGAAAAATAAGTAGATCTGAGCCTAGACCAGATATCCCGATCAGCTGTAAGTGCTTATGAATTGATGTTTCCTTCCCTTACTATTTCTATGGCGATCAGTCAAAACAGTCTCATATACAGTCTCCATTAAAAAAATAAACAAAGATTTAAGTCCGCCTGGTGATAAAGGGAACCCATGTACACTACAAGCTTGGACCATGAAGATGGAGCCTTCAACAAGTGGAAGTCAAGAAATGCGTTTGTTTAAAAATTATCATCAGGGCTTCAGGGATGGTAGTCCATACTTATAATCCAGTACTCAGGAGGCTGAACTAGGGAAATGGCAAGACCCAAGTTCATTTGGGCTACATAAAAAGACCACACATTAAAAAAAATCAAGCAAATGTTTCATTCCACTTCAAAATAACAATATGTATGATATTTCAGAGTAAAAACTGTTAACGACCATTGGTACAGTTTTTGTTTTTCAGAAAGAGCTGCAAGAATGTCCACATCTCTTGTTTTCCAGTCCAGTTTGACAAGTGTGAAAGCTGACACTGGCAGATAGGGTTTGTTGGAACACTGACCTGAATCCAAAACCGAACTCAGTATTGCAGCCCTGTTCTGTGGGTACTGAAGCCAACAACTGCTCTGCCTTCCATTTCTTATGATTCAATATCACACCACGGAACAAAAGCCCAGGTAGAACTGAAGCCTCCTCTCTTAAGTCTCCTCTCTCCTAGAAATTCCTCCCTTTGGCTTCTTTCTCTCTACTGCAATACAGCCTCTAGATATCTCTTTTCTTCTAACTATAACTCTAAGTCTTCCCTTTCCTCACCTTCTCCACTCCAAGCCAAAGCTGAGTATGACAGTCCAACTATAACTACGTTATCTTTATCCTTACCATCTCTTGAGAGGATTTACAGGCTTCTTCCTCCTAGAGAATTATACTAAGAAATAAATCTTTCTCCCTATAGAAGCACTTTGCAAAATATTCACTGTCCCTGACAAATCAAACTAGCTCTTCTCAAAAGAAAGCAGACAATATTTACTTCGGTTTCCTAAATCTCTTGTTGCCATGGTCTAATTCTGGCATGCATTGGTGGTCCCCTTCTTTGGTCTTGTCTGGAAGAAGCCCAGCTCCACAATTACAAGGCAAGCAAGGTTTGTTCTCACCCCTCAAGTGCCTTCTCCATCCAAATTTAATGTCTAGTGTTACTGGTTCCATGTTTTAGTCTTCTAAATTCCTCATTTTTGCTCTTGCCAATTCATTTCATTGGTTTATAATCCTTTTATTTTACTTCTAATTATTCTAAAAAAGCACAGAGGAGGAACATTAAACATTTTACTCTGATTTATGTTTGTGCTTTATTATAGTACTATTTTGTTCTGTTTTATTTTGTTCTCAGACAAGTCTTGCTATGTAATCTAGGATGACCTGCTCAGGTTGGCCTCAAACTTATGATCCTTCTGCCTCAGTCTCTCAGGTTCTGGGCTTACATATGAGCATCACCACACTTGACTATTACTGATCTGGTGTGTGTGTGCTGGTACTTAGGCTTGAACTCATGGCATTGACTGAGCTTTTTTTTTTTCCACTCAATACTGGTGCTAAATCACTTGAGTCATACCTCCACTCCAGCTTTTTGGTGGTCAGTTGGAGATAAAGAGTCTCACAGACTTTTCTGTTCAGGCTGGCTTGAAACTGGGATCCTCAGATCTCAGCCTTTGAGTAGCTAAGATTGCAAGCAGGTCACCAGTGCCCAGCTTTCCAAAGTATATTTGCAATGTTTTGAAAAAATGCTAATTTAAATGGTCACATTCATAGTACAAAGTACTTTTTCCATGGATATCCAAATAAATGGAGAACATTTTCATATCCAGAAATAAACTTGTGAAAGGGTGTGTTAAAAGATCGTAAGATGGTAACCGATCAGCAAAAGGAAGACACTGGGAATTTTTAGGTGTAGAGCTTCCCTTTCTTCCTTGTCTGCCTCTTTGCTTATGGGCCCTCATCTTTCCGGCTACTAACAAATGCTTGTGGCTTTTTACTGATGTGGATATCCTAGTAGGAATGCACTGTGATTGAGAAAATTTTGCAGTACTTAATTTCTACTCTTCTGATTGCTGGTGGATTATTCAGAATCTTCCAGAGAAACAGAATCGTGAGATGGAGAAGTATAACAAAAGACAGATTTGATTCCCTTGCAGGAATTATCACACGATGGCAGGGAAGAAGGGTCAAAAAGACGCTGCGGCTGGAAAGTTAAGTAGGAGTTTACAGTCCAGATGAGAATGCTTCAGGGCTGAATACTCAGGCACGATTGTCAAGCTGAAGCCTTAGGCCTTCAACTAGTAGTAAGAGGTGCATCCTCGCTAGCGATCTACATAGTCTACGGATTTGCCTATTGACTGCATCTAAAGCACGTCTTCATGGAGGCTTCCAGAAGGCTGTCTGATCATCCTCTGCGCCCCCGACCCGTTCTTCCGCTGGGATCCCCACGGGGAGGTGTGGCGTGAGCGTGGACGGGCAGAGGGCAGGGCCTCCCTGGTCCCCGGCTGTCAGGCCGGGGTGTGTGCAGTCGGGGCGCGGGGTCGCTCCGCTGCGGGGTGCTCTGTTCAGACCAGCCATGCCGGCCCAGCACCAGCTCCCGAACCTTCCTCGGGTGCCGGCGTCCTTCCCCCCTTTTCTTCACTTACTAGCTGGAAATCTGCACGTCGCTTTCCTGCTTTCTGTGCATAGTTAACGAAAGAAAGGACCGCAGACTTTCAGCAGCACTCGCAGGGAGCCACCGGTCCGCCCCGCGTCCCGCGTCCCGCAGGTGTGCGGGCCGCGGCCGGCCCCGGCTTCCCGAGCCACACCGGCCAAGTGGGACGCCCGGGTGCCGTGGCCGCGGGCCCCTGCTTCTCAGCCCCACCACCTCCATCATCTCCCCCGCCCTCCATCACCTCAGCCCCCCTCTCCCCCCACCCCACCACCGTGGACCACCGGAAAAACCCGGAGCTGCGGATGTCAGGAGTGAGCGGGGATTCCGCGCGCGCGCTCGAGGGAAACCGCGCATGCGTCAAGAAGACACACGCCTGCGCACCGTGCGTAGGGCTCCCGGAGCGCGCGCCGGGCTCCTTGGGCGCACGCGCGCCGGGTTTTTCCCTAGGGGCGGCCGCG